CCAATCCTACACAAAGCAGACGCCCATGATCTTGCCCTTCTCTCCTGAGAGTAATAACAGGGATCCACATTCCTCATCACTTCCCACATCCAAAACCAGTTTCTAAATGGTATAGAATCTTACAGAATTCCAAGCTGAAAAGGGACCTTAGAAGCACTTAGTCCTACCCTGCTCTAAGTCAACCCTGCTGCCAAGTGATCACGAGTCTTCTGCTTAATCACCTTCAGTGATGAGCCTGGCGGCTGGTCCAAAGCCCATTTCATCTTTAGACATCTGCTGGGAAGTCCTGTATTCTATAAAGCTGATTATGTCTGTTTATACTTCCTACTCAGTGGCCCAAGCTTTTCCACACTAAAGAACTCATACGTGTCTATGAAGAAGGCAGTCACTTAGGGGCTGTACTAAGGTTTCTGGAAATAGGAACCTGTGGTAATGTAAGGCAGTGACTTTCATGGCCTTTAAGAAGCTATGTCCTAGTCCTTATGGAATATCTTTGCTTAGTGTGACTTAGTGTCCTTTCTTTTCTGACGAAGGAGTTGGATTACATAGAGACTCTCACCAGTGGCTGCACATTAGAATCAGCTGGGGAGCAGGCACCCGTATGTTGGCAAGCCCCCTGTGTTAGAGAATTGCTGGATTAGATCACAGAGGGGGAAGCTAAACATGCCATGATTTTTCAAGCTATGATTAACTGTTAAATATAATAGTCTCCAGTTCTCACTAAGGGGCTTTTCTCCAGCCTCTGACAATGAGGTATACAAGCTCTGTGTGATACCAGTTTCATAGAGCCCTACCTGGATCTAGAGTAGTGACACCCACAGCGATGTAAAAAGCAAAATAACCTAGAAAGAGAAGAGGAGAAACATGGCCCAACCCCAGCCAAGTGCCATGGCGTCTTTGCACCCCACGTGCCTCATCTGTAAGAGGTGAAGCAAACCCACCACAGTGAGTTGCTGTGAGGGGGATCGAGACCCCAAGTGTAAAGCCTACTACCTGGCAATGAGAAGGCCCTCTGCAAATGCACTCCCTGGTCATTGGCAGCAAGGAGAAAGTGAAGAGAAGAGTGAGGGTGGTACCATTTCTGAAGCATGTCACCATCCTTCTTCCCATAAACAGCCCCTGATGAGAGTTGTATCACATCCTTTCAAAATTCCTATGTTGAAGTCCTAACCCCTAGTACTTTAGAGTGTGACCTTATTTGGAAATAAGTTTATTGCAGATGTAATTAGTTGAGGTGAGGTGATTAAAGTGGGCCTAATCTGACTGATACTCTTATCAAAGGAGGGGAATGTGTACAGAGAGAATGCTATGTGGAAGTAAAGACAGGTGACATTTCTACAAGCCAAGGAGGAAGGAGTACCAAAGATGGCCAGGAAACCACCAAAAGGTAGAGACGCCAGGAACAGATTCTTCCTTACAGCCCTCAAAAGAAATCTACCCTGCTAATTTCCAGCTTCCAGAACCATAAATTGCTGTTGTGTACCACCCAGTGTGTGGTGTTTGGTTACAACAGCCTAGCAAACTACTACACCTGCAGAGATGGCTTCACTGCTGATGTCAGAGAGGATGTGTCCAGGTCAAGATGTCAGAGAGGATGTGTCCCTATAGATCCACAGAAAGGGTGGAGGACATTTGCAAACCCTGAGAATGCTTTTCCCTGGGCCACCTTACACTGTCCTGAAAGAATCATTTGCCGCCATTCTGAGCACACCCTTACTCAAGGTCCCTGATTTCTTAGATGTCTTGTTTATTAGATATAATTTTATACCTTTTGGTATTACTTTGTGATTTTTCTTCTAAATGTATCCATGTTTTGTGTTTCCAACTCAGTTGCAAACTCTTTGAGGACAGGGACCATGGTACAAACCTCACTGGGACTAGGGAATCAGGTGGTAAAATTCTCTGTGTGAGCTTAGGCACGTCACCCATCCTGTCCAGGCCTAATTCCCTCAGGTCCTGTCTGGGCTGAATTCCCTCCAGTTGTGGTATGCTGGGATTCTGACTCCATGAATGCTTATTATTTAATCAACCTGAGTTGTAAAAGGGAAAGAAAGGCCCAGAAAACTCATCTCTTAGCTGTGCTGAGCAGCTAGTCCTCTAGGGTTAAATGATTCTGACTCACTTAACAAGGGGGCTAGACTCTGAGGGCTTGAGGAAAGATAAAATATACTGGGGGCTCCAAGTCCTAGTGGGTTCCTCCTTTCTTGGACTCCAAAGTCCTCCTGTCTTGGCACCTGTCTCTGTAGAAAGCCATTCTTGTAGTGACAGCTAAAGCTTTCTCTTCTTTCAGTGAAGATGTGTAGCCCCGGTTGCTGTATGGAGTGTGCTGGGCTCCTGCATACCCTTTAGAATCCTTGGGTCACTGCCTTGGGGATTTGAGCATCACTGATTTGCCTGTGAGTTACAGTATTTTGGATGAACCACTTTTTGTGTCTTACCAGGGGATCACAGCCTCCCTCAGCCTTCACGATTGAGCAGTTTGGACATAGTCAAAGAGTATTTACGAGTCCTTCTAGTGGCAAAGACCTCAGAGGCCTGGGTGTCTGTGTGTACATTGTGCTCTTTTGGCCCCGGGAAAGAGGGACTCATGCAGACCAGTCCAAGTTATGGCACTGGTGTAGGGACGGGAGCAGGAGATTTGTGATAGTTATAGAAGGTATAGAATCTCCTAGAAATCTAAGACTAGAACCCCCAAGGAATGATAAGCTTCACAGAATCTGACTCTGAAAGGTCACCCTGGTTCTGCTGATCTCACTCAGGTGCTCTGCTGTTAATGCAACCCGGTTACTCTCCAGGCATCAGCTTCTCTCAGCCTCTCTCAGCTTCTCCCTGCTGCTCTCCCCCATTCTAGTTCTTACTGGTTTTGAAAACATGCCTCTGGTGTGTAAATAGTAAATAACAATTTACTATTAATTATTATTATAAGTGAGACAGAGATAGAAATGGAAACCCAGATTCCAAAGAGAATAGCCCGAGAAGACGAGGGCTCAGTATTGTATTGAACTGGTTGAAATTCTACCAACAACCAGTTGTGTGAACTCTGACTGGGTGGACATTTCTTGGCTCTGTGACCTTGAACAGGTCCCTGCCTCCAGTTTCCTTATTCTAAAATGGAGCATGTGTGTCTCTTTTCCCTTCCCTCAGGCTGGGGTCAGAAGCAGGGGCGTTTCCTCTACCCTCTGCCCCAGCCTCGGGGTGGCAGTTGGCAAGTTTCTCCCCCTCTCATGCCTCTGTCCCTTCATGCGTCAGATGAGAGTTCTGAACTAGATGAACCAGCCCTTCCAGCACCCTAGTAGCTCTACTTGATGTTAAGGGCCTTGCCTCTCTGGGCCTACCCTGTACACACCCTCACCACCCCATTCTCAGACACCTTTCTTTTAAAAATCCCACAAAGCAGAGAATACTATCAGTCATACTCTCCAAGAAAAGGTGTGTGAAAAGTTGAGTGCATGTCCCTCTTCTGCAATGAAAACTTCTATACACTCCTTGCCCGGGCTTGTCTGTTTAGAAGCACTGTCTTTTGGGGGGGGAGGGGGTTCATTGAAGGTACCCAGAAGCAGGTTACTTTGATTGCCTTTGTCTTTTTACTCACTACTGATTACTGATTGGCTGTGGTCACTTACCCTTTGATCTTCCTTTTTGCATAAATGCCACCCACACTATTGCCCTTGGCCCCCTGGTCTCTCGAGTAAGCCATAATGACACACAAGCAAACTTGGAGGTGCTCTGGGAGCAGAGGGACCCTGGGGCTGGCTTCTCTCAGGCCTGTGAATTGTCATTCCCAAAGCTGTCTGTTTTCTAAGTTCTTCTGCCAAGTTTCTATGGAAGCAGAGGGATCATTTTCTCCTTTTTCAAAGAGCAGGGTGAGTTGAGGCCTCGAGCTGGCAAGTCCTTTAAAGTCCTTTTCAAAGGAAACCTGAGCTGAAAGGCCGTGCAGCTGGCAGAGGGTGGTGTGCTTTTCCGAGGCTCTCTGGGGCTTTGGGTGGTCAGCTCCCGTAGGCCTCCCAGCACGTGCTCGGAGCCTGCTGCAGAGGCACTGCCAAGGGACACTACTGTCCGAGCCGGGCCCACAGCCCCAGGGAAGGGTTCCACTTCACATCCCCCCACTGCCACCCAGAAACAAGAAGAGGGGTGCCAACTCCTCCTCTGGGCAGTGACTACAACCACACTTGCCCTCCCTGTTCTTGGGTCCTGTCAATCATACTTGGTCCTTGGGGTTTTTTGAGGTAAAACAAAATTGGGGTCCAAAACCAGCGAGGGTGAACTTACATCGCAATCACGGAATTGTCCTGGTCTGGTCAATCCCGTCCCCTCATTCGTGGACAGGCTGGGAAAGGGACCAGGAGAGGAGATGGTTGTCCCCAGCAACCCAGGAGGGGCTATTTGAGTCCCACCCCAGGGCTCCTTGGACAAAAAGCACCTCTGCAAAGACAAAGTTTGCTTGGACAGGAGCCAATTGTAAAGCCTCTGTCTACAGGTGTCAGCCACACCGCAGATGCCAGAAAGACTCCGAACGCACGGCGGCTGCGGAATACACGTGGGATGGGGCCAGACGCCTTCCGACCGGCCCGTGGAGCTGAGTGGAGAGAAGTTGTTCATGAAGCTAGGAAGCAGGTGAACCCCGTCACTTCACAGAAGGGGCAAACCAAGGCACAGAGGAAGAGGCTGGTGTCTGGGTGTGTCAGAAGAGTGAAAACCAAAGCCACAAAAACCTCAGCCACGAGCTGGGTGGACGGTCCATCCAACCTCCCACCCCAGCTCCTCAGGACCGGGGGGCTGGAGTCTGTAGTCTGTCCTGCTGCTGGGAACCAAATGTGGGTCCCCACCAAGTGACCAGCAACAAGGCCTGGCCTTAGCGCCAGTGAAGCTCCTTTCTGAGACTGTACCAGCCAGAGCAGCCTTCCCCGCTGAGATTTCCCACCTAGACTAAGAGCTGAGGACATCAGATCTGTTCAAGTCCCCATTCCCAACACACGGACAGACCTCCACCACAAGCTGACTTGACTTTTCAACATTTTATTCTTATATTTGTACAGCTATATTTTACAATGCAGTAATGCAGTTTAGACACAGCCAAACCCTGTCTCCGGAGTAGTTATAACACAAGCATGACGCAGAATGGGATGAGACAAACGTTCCCAAAGAGAGTTTAGTTAGTGACAACTTCAAGTCCCTGTGTCTGCCTACACTTCAAAAAGGGATGGCGCGCACTCGCCCATCATTGAAAACTTCTGTGAAAAAAGGCACCGTGAGGACACGTTGTACTGGTGTGTACACACTGAAAACTAGAACAAAATTACACGTTTCTCCTTCTGCAGCGTTTTTTTTTTTGTTCTTTTTGTTTTTTTTTTTAATACACACTTTGTAAATTGTAAACCTTCACTTGCAAAAAAATACAAATACACTGAGGCATTTTAGACAAAATATTTTCTTACTTATACAGATGCAATACTTAAAATATTCTCTTAAGTGCTCTTTCTCAATAAAGATTCTCAGATCCGTGTCTGCCTGCAGATACAAAATCGAGCCTTTAACGCAGTTTTATAGACTTAATATATCTTTTTTAGGTTTATATATATTTATTTTATATATATATATATTTATATATTTACAACTCTGCCATATATTCCTTCACCTTTGGTTAAAAAAATTAAAGCCCTCTCTTTGATAACACACCGAAGTCTTGTCTTTTAAAAGAATGCACATTTACATACAAAAGAAACATCTGTTCCCACAAAACATATACATTCCTCATTTTGCAGACTAAGTCAAGTCAGAACTTTTGCATACTCCCCCACTTTGATATATAAAATGATTTCGCTTTTCGCTGACATGGTTCGCCTTACACATAGGGGAAGAAGCGATATTATTTTCTTAATGTTTTATGGCAGTGGGGGAAGGGGAGCTGTGTGGCTCCCGGTCCCCCGGGCCCCACCCCCCACCCCGCGCCCTCAGCTATGATTTGCACTAGTGGATGAGAGAGGCACTACATCATGGGATGAACATTATAAAGTGTTACAGTATCCTTTGGGTAGATTCTGAGAAGGGGCTGGAGAGGAAAGCATCAACACTCCATGCTTCAGCAGGCTTTGGGGAGCTCCGGAGGCAGGTCAGTGGCCGACACACGGTATTGCACCTTGGTGTTGGTGATGGCGCCATGCTTCTGGCGCAAGTGAAGTCGCAGCTGGCTTTTGTGACGGAAATGCAGGTTACACTTCTCGCACTGGAAGGAATCGGAGGCAAATGGTTAGCTGTCATCAACCCAAGAAACTCATCACTGCCCTACAACCCCAAGGAGGAGATTCTTCTTGCAAAGGACTGGGGCAATTCTTTTCTCTCCGAGTCCAGTTTAAGAACCCATAAACATCCTAGCTTCTGCTAGGAGATAAATAAGCATAGCATATCTTCTACTAGGAGATAAATAAGGTGCAAATGTCCCTTCTCTGCTTTCCAAAGTGTTATCACATTTTTCCCTTGCTTGAGATGTTATTCCCTGCCTTAACTCCACAAGTTCAAGGCTTAACTGAAAACGCAGTTCAGATACAAAGTCCCCTCATTATTAAAGCTTTTCTGAGTCTCTCAAAGATAAAAATAATCGCTCTTTCCTTGGAACCTCTCTGTAAGATCTCTAGTCTTGCCATACAGCCATCGTTGCAGATTAAGATCCTTCTTAGATGGAGAACACATTTGAAAGCAGTGACCACTTTTTACTAAACTATAATCTTCCTAGTACCTACTGTCTTTTAGGCAAATTATGTAATCAATCTGAACACATTTGGACAAATGGGCTGGATCATTCTGAATTCATGGAAATTATAGAGTCCAGAATATGCTTTAAAAAAAATGTGGTTATGTTCTTTCCTAGGGTGTATATCTTAGATAAGTGAATAAAGCATTAGCACATAGACCTGTTTCTTGCTTGATAACAGTTTTAGTTACGATAAAAGGTTTTTAGTAGTAAAATGGATGACTAAGTGTGATGGGGTAACCTTGATGAGATCTTGGAAAAATGGGTGCATTTGAGTCCCTCTGTACAATCTTGGCAACTTTTTTGTAAGTCTAAAACTGTTCTAAAATATAAAGTATAATAAAATATGTCTAGATAGAGAGTATGTCTAAAGTAAAAATGGTATTAGACTTAGAAAAATTAAAATAAATAAATAATATGGAGAAGACAAAGTGTAAAAAGCCTTGTCTTGGGAGACTCAGGGTCCACTGTATCAAGGCCACCCACTGCTGTGTATCCCAGGCACATCATTTCTCTCTCTGACCTTGGATCTCTCTTCTGAAGGGATTGGGTCAATATACTGAAGGTCGTTCTCAACTACGATGTCCTAGCTATCTATAATTCTAACATTATAATGGCATATATTTCCTGTGCTCTTACTTTATGCATGTGCTTCTGAACCCTTTAATCAATCAGTTAATACTACAGCTATGCAAGGTGGGTGCTATTATCAGGCTCATTGTACCGATGAGGTAATTAAAGTACTAAGAGGATAACTAATTGCATAAGAATAAACAGCAAGTAAGAAGATATTCATCCAAAGCTTGATGAACAAGTGAACAGAAATAACCATGTTTTGCAGGTTAAGTTCTGGAATGTGAGTTAACTATTCAGTGACTAGTTCTTGTGCCCATCGCCACCTAGAATGATGCTGAAAAGTCCTCAAACCAGCTACAAACAATATGTAAACAATGAGGTGACTGTGCTCCAGTAACACTTTAGTTACAGACCCCCTGAGATTTAGATTTCACGTAATGTGCATGTGTCCCAAAATATTATTCTTTTCTCTAATGAAAAAATCTTTCTTGGCTAATGGAATATGCGAACATTGGTGTGTGGGCCGTACTGGCCCCGACCCTGTTCCAAAAGACTACAATCCCCACCACCTGTCCACAGCCCTGGGCTGCTACCTGGCCACTCCTCTTTCTTAAAATGGACTTCTCTGGGGTTTGGGGTCTCCTTATAAGATCATTAATTCTTACAATATTCTTCTGGTTCTTCTCCCACTCCTAAGACTGCTCCTTCTCAAACACTGTAGCTCTTTTTAAATATACATATAGCCCAGTATGGGGTGTGCTACCGACACTGCACAAGTATTTGTGGAATGGATAAATGACCCCAAAGCTACGCATTCACAGGCAGGACTTCTTTCCTAAGGCCCGGATCTTCCAGCGCAGTCTTCCCATTTTCACAATGAGACTGGGGCAAACCATTCTGCTGCCCCTCCCCTCTTGCCCCTCCCCCCAGGCCAGCCGCTGGCCTTAAGAGGCTCACATACGTGGTAAGGTTTCTCTCCTGTGTGGATTCGCAGGTGGCTCTTCAGGGTCTGAAGGTGCCGGAAACGGGTGCCGCAGATTTCGCAGGGATAGGGCTTCTCGCCAGTGTGGATGAGCACGTGGGCACGGAGGTGGGCCACCTAGAAGGAGGGGCCGAGTGTGAGATGCGCTGGGGCAGGTGACAGCACGCGGGCCCGGGGTCCTTCCTTCCTCCACGCCACCCCACTCACCTGTACAAATCGGGCTCCGCAAGTCTCGCATTTATAGGGCTTCTCTCCAGAGTGAATTCGGGTGTGGGTTTTCAGGTTGGCTGGCCGGTTGAACTGGGCTCCACAGATGTTGCAACGATAGGGTTTCTCGCCTATTACCGACAGAAAGAGAAAGAGAGAAGGCAGATTCAGTGGGGAAAGATTCCACAGTCCTGAGCCCCTGGATTTCAAATAAAACTGCCCATGCCTGGGGTCCCTTGTGCTTTCCTTCCCCTGGGAGGGTGTCAGAGAGGGAATCCAGGGGCCTGTACTCCCTAGCCTGCCAGCCCTGTCCCATGCACAGACCAGCACACTTTGACACTTTGCGGGGGACCAGGAGCAAGAGACAAGCAGTGGCTTGGTGAAGCAGAAACAATGCCAGGCATGGAACCAGAGAGGGGGCGGTCCAGGAAGCCTGAGCTATAGAAACAGCTTTGTCATTGGAATCATCTGCCTGTGGGACCTGGAAAAGTCACTCTCCTCCTCTGGGCCTCAGTTTCCCTCTCTGGAAGGTGAGGGGTTACTTCCGATGATCTGGGAAAGCTCTTGTAGCTCTTTGATAAGCTGATTAAATCAATTCCTCCACCAGGGAGATACAGTCAGGCGCTCCAGTTTCTCTTTTAGAACAAACACACTTTTCTGCTTGTGCAACAACAGCTCTTTGCAAGAGGGGTGGGGCTCATGTTGAGCAAATGCTCAGGCAGGGGAGACCAACTGAAGGGCTGAGCCTTCCTTCACGGCAAGTTTTGGGGATAACGGAAGAATTTACAGTACTAAGAGAATGGACTTTGGACAACAGTCAGGTTTATGAGAAGCTACCTGGTAAAGGAATGTAAGTTGATAAGGAATGAGTCTTTGGAGGAAATCAAGAGGCCTTTAATTTTTTTTTGGCTTTACAAAAACCTAATCCACTTAGCCTCCATCGGCCTCGGTTTCTCCACCTACACAGTGGGATTCATACTTCTGACCCCAGCAAAGGCAGAGAAGCAAGACTGAGCATCTCAGAGGAAAGGGAGAGAACACAGGGAGTGAATGAGTCACCAAGCAAAGACAAGGCCAGGCTAAGTCCCGTGTTCAGCCCAGACGGGGCCTGCTCCCTGCCGCGCCCCACCAGGTCCCAAGCCCCACACTGCCTTCTCTCGGATCCCGCCCCTGTCCTGCCTCCGGAGAGTGTGGGGCAGGGCCATACCGGTATGGACGGTCTTGTGGCTGGCGAGGTTGCCCTTGTAGCGGAAGGAGGCCTGGCAGCGGTCACACTTGTAGGGCTTGTCGCTGTGGGTCTGCAGCGTGTGCCTTTTGAGTGAGGCCTCCTCAGAGAAGCGGCAGTCACACTCATTGCAGAAGAAGGCCCCGTTCTCTGTTGGAGGGTGGCAGGGGGACACCAAAGTCAGTGCCAGGAAGGGAGGTGGGGCTCTAAGGCCTCTTTCCTCGGTAGCTATCCCCTATGACAAAGGGATCCCAGGCGCCTCCCACCCCACCCACTCTCATAGGACCTGTGGGGATTTCTTTATCTCAGCCACAGAGGAGAGGGGAGGGCACAGACTGAATACTCAGGTACCAAGGGAAGCCCAAACCCACAGGTAGGCATCTAACTTGCATCAGTTTAAGAAAAGCTCAGCAGAGCTTTTCCTTCCCCCAAGAGCTCTGAAAATTGACCTTTTTAAAGGATCACTTCAAAGTTTAAGTTCAGATACAAAAACCCTTGGGCCAAGACCCTTGACCTCTCTGAGCCTCTCTGTGGGTTTCTACCTTCACAGTCGGGACAATAAATCTCTGTCCTGCCTATCTCACAGGAGGATATTATATTACACAAATTAAAATGTTAAACATTATAGGAATACATGATATAGTTCAAAGTCAACCATACTTTGAGGTCCCTGAAGGAGGAATGAATGACGAACACCCCAAGCTCATTCTTGCACCTATCTAGATTACATGTCTCCCAAATGCTTCTGCGAGACTGAGAGACCAGCGATGATGGTGTTAGCAGAAGCAGAGGCCCAGTGAAAAGAAGTGCAGAGCAAAGGCAAACAGCAAAGGGGACAGGAGGGGACTGGCCCTGCTTTCCCAACTGTAAGTCCATGACCTGTGTGCCAAATCTCTGAAGGTAAGCAACCAATTTTTTTCTTTCATTATAACAATTTGAAAATGACATGTCATGGTGATTTAACTTTGATTAGGTATTACTGGGCTCTATTACTGTAGCCAGAGCTGGATGGAAAGTTAGACTTTTTACTTGGTAAAACCCAGGGATGCGAAACCATCAACTATCTAGAAAGTTTAATAACATAATAACATAATTTGGTTCAACTACATTAACTCAGCTAACATTTACTGAGTGTCCTATTCCACGCTAGGGACCTGCGAGGCCTTCTGGAAGATCCAGGAATAGATAAAGTCAGATGGTCCTTTTCATACAATCTACAGCCTGGCGGGGAGAACTACCATGAACACACATCAGTTGCAGCAATTTAATGGAATGGAGAGGGATGGAGAAAGCACTGGGAGTTACAGTCAGCCCCTCAAGCTGCCTTTACTGGGACAAAGATTTCCCCATATTAACCCTAATACTTCATCCCTTAATTTTGTCACACCCATTCCTCAAGAGTTTGTGAAGTATAGGGTAACTGGCTGGTGACTTTAATTGCCAGTGGACTTCCAAGAAGGACTCTTCCCAATCAGAGATGACAGTGTCAATAAAATGGAAACATAAAACCCAGGAAGCAGAAGGGCAATCCCTCTACCTGGCAAGGGGTGGGGGGGAGGAGGACTCACCACAGCTGGAATCCGAGTACTCAGACTGGGTCTCTCCCATCTCCTCGGGGAACGTGGGGCCAGCGGTGTGGAGGCACATCTCTGCATGCTGCGGGGACTGAGAGCCACAGGACACGCACTTCGGGGGGTGCATGTAGAGTGGTGAGTGGCTCTCACTGCTACTGCGGGGGGAGCCTGTTAGGGACCTGCCAGTAAGAGCAAAAGGGTCTCAGCATGGGAGACAGGGCCTCAGGGCCACCCCCTCCTCCCTGGCCTTGGGCACTGAGACCTCAGAATTTCCTTTTGTTTTGCTTTGTTTTGTTTTGTTTTGTTTTGAGACAGAGTCTCACTCTATCACCCTGGGTAGAGAACCATGGTATCCAGGCTCACAGCAACCTCCAACTCTTGGGCTCAAGAGATCCTCCTAACTCAGCCTCCCAAGTAGCTGGGACTACCAGCACCCACTACAATGCCCAGCTAGTTCTTCTATTTTTAGCACACACAGGGTCTCTCACTCTTGCTCAGGCTGGTCTTGAACTCCTGAGCTCAAGAGATCCTCCTGCCTCAGTCTCCTAGAGTGCTAGGATTATAGGTGTGAGCCACTGTGCTCAGACTGGGACCTCAGAGTTATCTTCAAGCCTATCTTGCACTTTCACTGCAGAGAGATCACCAACCAGGGTCAAACCAGGCCCAAATGGTGCGCCTGAGCCCAGTTTCTTCTCCTTAATACTGTAGCCCATAGCCCCCCAATATATCAGGACCACAGGAAGGACCTGTGAGATTTAGGGAATGCTTTTCACCATTGAAAAAAATTATCTTTTGCCATAAAAAAAAACATAAGGCCAGGTGTGGTGGCTCGTGCCTGTAATCTTAGCACTTTGAGAAACTGAGGTGGTAGTGTCACTTGAGGCCGGAAGTTTGAAACCAACTTAGGCAAAAGCCAGACTTAGTCTCTACAAAGAATAGGAAAATTAGCCAAGCATGGTGGTACACACTTAAGAGTCCCAGCTACAAGGGAAGCTGAGGCAGGAGGATCACTTGAGCCCAGGAGTTTGAGGTTGCAATGGGCAATCATGACACCACTACACTCTAGGCTGGGTGACAGAAAAAGACCTTATCGAAAGAAAGAAAAGAAAAAAAGAAAGGAAAGAAAAGAAAAGAAGGAAAGAAAGAAAGAAAAAAGATAAAACACAAAATATACAGCATTTAATATACTTCCTTACTTAGGCTAATTCAATCACTAGGCACTAATTCCACCCTCTAACAGGCTTAGCAATTTGGGCAAGAAAAGGACACATCCCCTGTATCCATCAAAAGAAAAGACCTTGGAAGCCTCCCAGGTACCCCGAGCTCAGACCCAGACTGTCCCTGAAATCACCTGTTAACGATGTTATTGAGCCGGCTGGCCTGTGGGATGGTGGAATCCTCCCCACCAGCACTGAGCTTGGTTGGGGTCTGGAGGTCAAGGTTGTCGGGCTCCAGGGGCGGCTGGCAGGCAGGTGGGGCAGTGTAGGCTCTCGGGGAAAGGTGGCCCAGCTCGGCCTGCTCTGGCCCCTCTGGTTTGGCATTCTGGTTGAGGCTGTTGAGCACGATGAACTTGTATTTCTTCCAGTTGCAGGCTTTGGGGTCAGTGGGGCTCTTGGCGGGAGGGGAGCCGGAGGTCTGGAGGATACAGGCATTCTTGCTGCTGCAGGACTCTGTGGGTGAGTTGGGCTGGCAGTCGGATTTCTGGGGGCTCTGTGGACTAACCAGACCCTTCCGGTTCAGGGGCGCGTTGGGGGACTCGAAATGCAAGGCAATTTCATCCTCTGAGGAGGGTCTCTCTTCTTCTTTGCTGGCCTTGTCACAGGGGAAGTACGGGGCATTTCGGATTGAAGGGGCGGCAGGCTTAGGGCCCTCAGCCACACTGTAGTGCATGTCACTTCGTGCCTCCTCTGGGACGGTCTCCTTGGGTGAATAGATGTTACTGTGGCACATGCTGGGGGACACCTCCATGGTGGGCCGGCTATACTCCCCAGGGACTGGCCTGCCACTATCGCAGGGGAGGGCCCGCTCCTTGGGGAAGGGGTTGGCCACAGGCATCCGGGCATCCCGCAGCTCCTCATCGAAGAGGAAGCTGCTGACTGGGAGGTGGCTGTACATGGGGTAAGAGGCCGGCGGTGTGGACAGGCCACCGTACAGGCTGGGGGCAAAGGCTCTGCCCTCACAGCCCGGGGCGTTCCTTAGTGGCAGGTTGCTCTCCACCACCTCACGACCCCGATAGGCCATAATGTCTTGGGGCATCAGCATCCGGCTGTTCAGGAAGTCTTCACGAGGAGGCTTGATGGCAGGAACCATCTCTGCTTCACTGTGGCAGAAGGAAGAGAAAAGGCACCAGCCCCAAGTCAGAACTGTTAAACAGATGACCTTCCAGGGACACTGCTATAAACATCTGTGCCTGACTTAGACAGAAACAGGGGATGGGGCTCTGGAGTACAGAAATACAATTAAGAGGCATTTATGCCAGAAGTCTAGCAATCTAGCTTACAGTTGGGGCAACTTAGGCCCAGAGAAGGGAAGTGAGTTAGCTGCACAACCTGCCTGATGAGACATGATTTTGTATGTTTAAGGCACATTCCTGGGCACGTGTGTTTATCTATAACTCTACTGATCTTGTAAAATTTTATAGCTAACAGAAAGCTTTCAAAGGCCTATCTCATTTCACTCATGCACAATTCTACAGGGAAGGAAAGTCAGGTATTATCGACCCCATTTCATACACACAGAAACAGAGAGGGAAGAATTCACACAATGCCGGCACCACACTTTTGGAAGGTCAGAGACAAGTAATGCTCTATTGAAGAAAGAACTTGCCCCATATGCTGACTGGAAGTTTATAACAAAGGACAGGCAGCAAACCCAAGTGCAAGAATCCTTGGGTTTAAAGCAGCCAGACCTGGGTTTAAAGCTTGGGTTTAAAGCAGCTGTGCCACTCACCAAACTGTGACCTGGAGCAAGTTACCTCCCACTCTGATAGTTGTTATGTTGGATTGAAATCAAACTTCTCTAACCATCATTCATGGATTCTGGCTCTGTTACCTATGATTATGTTGAACTGGCCTATTTATTTGCCCATATAATGTCCCTCCAAGTATTGCAGCTATAGCCTTTTGTCTCCTGTGGGTCATAATGGTGGTAAGATCACCACTGCTGTCATTTGCAAGTATTTGCCACCATTACCATCCATAAGAGACAAAGAGCTTTCTAACTGTCCAAAGTAGATTCTGTGGTTCTGGGATACTGAGCTTCTGGCTCCTGGTCATGTTAAACACAGACTAGAAAACGCTTCTGTTTAAATAAAGATGTAATTACCCCCACATGGCTACATCAAATGTTTCTGAGGAAGTTAAGCCCTGAGTCTGTGTTCCACTTAGTAAAGCTTTGCACTTCTTTAGATCTCAGGTTCTTCTACTTTAAATGATGTTGTATCTCACCAGCCCTCAGGTAGGGGATTAGACCCAGTGAACTCAATTCGATTCAACCAATGTCCTCCCTAATAGGAGCAGGGGATGTAAAAGCCGAGGAAGGCAAGCCTGATTAGCCCATAGTCTGGTAGGCAACTAAGGCACCTATGTAAATAGTCATAACAGAAATCTAAAAAAAGAGCAAAAATACATGCAAATATTAAAACAAAAGCATGACCTAAAGCAGGGAAAACATTTCGGAACACAAGGGAAGAGCTAAAGGAGGAAGAGTGGTAATCAGAAAAACCTACACGGAGCAAGTGCTGTCCCTCACAGGATGGGGGGCAGGGGAGCATATTAAGTGAATGGAAAAAAGCACACAGTAATAATAACGCACAGAACACACCTGTACAGCAGCCAAGGAGTTAAGTCTTCCTGGACTGCAAGAATTAAGAAGTGCAAAAGTGTGCAACAATAGTGGAAATATAGGTTGCAGCACATCACAGGGGACTATATTTTCTGTATGCATGAATTAGTAAGGGATTCTGATTGGGGACTACCCTTTCGAAGGCTTCCACCCAGGTGACATGACAGCTCACCTGGCCTTGATAAACTTCCGGCAAGTGTCCACAACATGCTCCATTTGCAGGTACATAGCTGTGGCCATCACAGCCATGATGTTGCCTTCCCGCAGGTTGAGCCGAGATGTGTACATAAAGTCCAGGAGGATGCAGAACCCCTCAGGGTTGATCTCAGGATCCAGATTAATCACATTAAGGTTGCACTTCAACTGGTCTGTAAAGATGCTGTAGAACAGGCCACTGTAAAACACACAGACATCCCGTTACAGCAGACACATAGAATCCCTGATCGATTACAGTCAGCACTGATGCTCAGCCCCTCTGCCCTGGGCCTAGCTCCAGAACTTCCAGGGCAATTCATAATCACTGCCATTTATGGAGAGCTTACATAATGCCTGAGAGTCATTAAGCTTTTTATGTACATTATCCTATGTTCCTCACAACCTTGTAGGGTGGTACTATTATCTCTACCTTTAAAAATGGGAATTAAGATCAGAGAGGTTAAGAGAGATTCTTAAAGCCACAGAGCCTGTTTCCCTTTGACTCTTAACTGCAGGGATTACTGCAGTTAAATTTAACGCTCCTTTGCCACAACCATCTTAGTCTGTATCTCTGTGATAAGCATTTCGCATCTTGTCCCATTGCATTATCCTTTTTAAAAAAATTCTACTGTACTTTTCAGAAGTTTGGTAGAAATGACAAATAAATTGAAAATATGCTTATATCTACACTCTACTGCTTTTCCTCAAAGTCCCCAGGTATTAGAAGGTCACCCTAGGTACCATACTATCTAGTAGAGGAAGCAATACTCAGTTAGATAGCCGAACTCTACTCTGGGCTATTATCTTAATTCTCGACTCGACTCTGAGTGGACTGAGTAGCTATGCAACCTTGGGTGAGATACTTTGCTTCTCTGCACTTCGGTTTATTTATCTTCAAAGAGGGGGGGACAATAGTGTCTCCATTATAGAGTTGTGGCAAGAATGCAAAGCTAAAGGGTATATAGCATGATGGCTGGCATACAGTATACACTCAGTAAACATTATCTGCTATTTTTATGTTGCTATAAAGCTCTGTCCTCTCCACTATTAAAAAATTGGCGCTTACAGTAGGTATTGGATAAGTTCTCTAGCAGGATCAGAGATCCCTGATTCTGCATCCTTTCACCTGCCTATGTCTTCCTTTTATCCTTTTATACCCTCCATAACCCAAAAGTCTACTAGAAAGATCCAGGGAGATGATGTAATATAAAATTGCTTTGAAAACTTGAAATACTTGACAAAGATATATTAGCTGGGTCACTGTCACTAATTCTCACATATATTCTGAACATCCAGGGAAGTACAGTTGCAATATAAAATAAATATAGCATAAAAGAGCAAAATATTTCAGATTAACTTGCTCAAACTCCTTAAAGACAGTGCGGGTTAATGTGAAATCTTTTGCCGTTTTCTTTTTCTACTGGTTAACTGAAGTTATTCTCCATCTTTCCTCCAGACACATCCTTTCTTGTGGCAGTGTATGATTTCTTCTCCCACTATGCCCACAGAACAGAAACTCTTTCTCTTCTAAAAGTACATTCATTCATTAGCTTCCCCGGAACCTTCTCCGCCAGGCCCTGTGCTAAGCTCTGGAGTTGAAGTGAGGCATCATCCTAGACACAGCAAAAGGCTGAGGTGTCCTCCCCCGACCCGGCTGCCGGCATCTGCATTCCCCTTTTATTCATCCACCCTCCCCTTCCCGCACCCTCACCTGCAGGCCATGAGGACTGTCTTATGGGCTCTAAACTGCTCTCGGCTCACCACAATGACAACATCAGTCAAGATGTCTCGACTCCGGAGGCGATTGAGGTTGAGAAGAACATCACTGGCGTGGCGGGTGAACTGGATACAGCTGTCAGCCGGTGAGGCCATTTTGTCTTCACCTGAAAAAAGAGGCCAAAATTCTGTCATTTTCCAGACTCTGTTTCCTGCTCACCTGTTTCCTAGCACCAGAGCAGATGGCTCAGCCTGCTAAGGTATAGAACGCAACCCTTGTGTTTGATCTTGAAACAATTCATAACACAACTCTGAGCATGACTCTTCACGGCTATACAATGGGGAGTGTAATCTTTATCCAACCAAGTTGGGATAGAAGGCCTTTTAGGGGAAAAGGGAAGAGAATGAATGTTTTCTGAGTGTTTTTTCCACATACCAAATCCTCTGCCAAGCATTGAGAGTCAGTCAGTATGGGGCAATGGAGAGAAACCAAGCTTTGAAGGTTAGCAGGCCAGCTTTCTCTTTTGCTAGCTGTGGGACTAGGAGCAGGTTGTTCACCGTTTCTGGGCTTTGGTTTCCTAGAGTAACACCCATGTGGTTATAAAAATTAGAGATATGTGCCTCGTCCGTAGTAAGTTCTCAAAACTCACAGCTGTTCTCATCAGTATCTCACTTCATTATCCCAGCCACCATCCCTCTCTCTCTGTTACTGGGCTTTGGAGTTGTTTGATTTTGTACATTGAGTCACACTGTTGGTGCACGTCGGTGGCTAAATTAGTATGAACTAAGAAATAAGCAAGAGGATAACTGACCACACGACAGTGTAAGACAGCCTAATGCAGAAGGGAAGAGGTGAGGGCTGGGAGAGATACAGAGGAAATTTGGGGTCCTAGTCTCATCTAATAAGAATGGCAAACTTCACAGAAACGCATACATTCAAAGCAAATAGTTTGTCCCCAGTATTTTAAAGTATATAATTTGATTTACTTACCCAAGGCCTTGCTTCACAGTCCAAAATTTTGCTTAAAACCTGCAAAGAAGACAGCAAACATAAATTGACTTAATGAGCGTAACATTGTCCACTACAGTCTTATTTTAGGACACACACATTTAGTTTTGCTTTGATGTTTGTGGCCTGCCAGTTGGTACAGTTTCACCACAAGCTAGCAAACAATTTCCAGTTCTGCTCTTACAGAAACAACAGGCACCCAAAGTAACACAGTAATAATGTTTTTACCCTGAGTACTGGGAACATAACTCATAACTGCATATATCAATTCCATATACACATATACATATGTATTCTCTTTATCAAGAAAAAGAATTGTAACATCCAAAGGCCACTTGAGTTTAAGAAAAAGAAAAATATAAGAAAAGTAGTTCTTTCGATATTAATGATAATGATTCTTCGAGGGGCCTAAAAATACTGGATGCTATTCAAAACCTGCTAAGATATTATCTTTCAAATCTTAGAATGATTCTGCAAGACTGACAAGGTCAATATCTTTGTCCCTATTTCACTGGTGATGAAACTGAGATTCAAGGGTTCAGGTGGCTTGCTCAGGTCAAACAGCTAGGCAGTATTTCCTGTCTGAAACACTTCAGACTGAATATGGCATCTGCAGAATACAACCTCAGATGGCCCGTCTACATGCTCCTTCAGAACCTTTGCCCTCTTTTTCAAAGTTTCCTCTCCTTTCCCTACTGGGTCTAAGACCAGACAGAGTGCTACAGCTTCCAAGTTTGTGCTTCTCTCTGCTGGTGAAAGACTTAACTGTGCAGGTTAGCTGAGAAACGGCCAAGGAGCACTAAACCTTAGAGATTTAATAAAATATGTACTCTCTCCAAATTGCTTTCTCTAAAACAAAATCATCAAAAGCACAGGTGTAAGACTCTCAGTTATGATAGACTGTGGACTGTAAAATGAAACAATCTTTGAACTGTCTTTCCCCCCTTTTTAGAGCTATTTTCTGGGTAAAGGGGCATGAGGCCAGTGAGGTCATGTTGGGCCACATAGATGGTTGGTGGCCTGGCCTTAGGTCTTCTGGCTCAAGTTCCTGTCCCTTTTCCAAATCAGCCTACGTGCTGTAGAGCATGCAAGACAGCACCCCTGATGTGGGTGAATTTCATTTTTAAGTTCCTACCCCACACAAACACTTTGCCCCATTCCAGGCTGCTGAGTCTTACCAAATGAGTACTCTAAAATGAGAGGTTTCCTTGAGTCTGTAACCAAACACTCTGACATTTCTCTGTGGTCCCAAGTGCCAGTCACACAATCTCATCGGCTTCAAGGTTAGAGTGTGCATGTGAGTTAGTGGAGACTGGGGTAAGGAAATGGAAAAGGAAGAGGACAGAAAAAGACAAAAGAACCTATCTCCCCTCTCCCCATCCCAACTCAAGATTAGGGTAGGAGAGATTTACTAACTTAGTCCTAACCACCATTGAATGATTGTCTCCTTTTAAAAAAGAAGGCAGAAGACATATATGAGGTTTATTTTAAAAAATGTTCTCTCCTCTTCCCTCACGGAAGACATCCTCAAACACTCTGGAATACCTGGTAAACCAGCTTCGACTACCAGTTCACTTGTGGATTTCCAGTCACAGACTTTTGGAACCACAGGAAACCCAGATTTGCCATTTCACCATGACAAGTGGCAATGACTCACTCCAGATGGGAGTTGAAACAAACAAACAATTACCCGGTGTCCACTGTCAGCCAGTCCTTGGGCTTTTCACCTTAAGCCTCTGCTTGGCCAAAACAAATGCACATACACTGAGGCCCATGTCCTTATTACATTAACTCTTTAGTAAGCTAACTGTCTTAGAAGGTTCCACAACTACTGAGTGTGTGGGTTTGCCCCCCTCCCCCACTCCATGCTGTGGGTACGGGAGTACTGGCAATATTTGTTGTTATTGTTTATTTTAACAGACCACTTCAATCTTTTCCTACTCATTATTGTATCTTAACCTTATAACTGCCCATTTCTTATTAGGGAGAAAAATGAGCCTTGCCCAAGGTCTCAAAGCCAATTTCTAGCAAAGTTCTGAACAAACCCCATCTACTAGATCCAGCCAATACTACACAGAGGACTCATCCCACAAAACAATCACCAGCAGCTCTGTCAATGAGAAACTGACAACTGTACCGCCCCAGATCTGGACTCGTCGATCCCAAGCCCCACCTCATCACCCGCACGGGCTGAGAAACCACCAAGAGAGAGAAAACACGGTTTTCTCCACCCCCACACCTCTTATCTCCCCCTTTCCTTGTGAATATTCAATTAGGCGCCTTGAGAAGGCAGATTCTCTAAAGGTGCTACCATTAAAGACGACGACAGAGGACCAAAAAAAAAA